CTTATGAGTATGTTTTGGACTTGTGTAAGATTCTCGTATGTCAATAAGTTTGAAGCTTAAATGGATGCATTGAGGCAGTATGATGAGAAACACATAATAGGCTAGTGGACAACACATCACCATACCATTGGTTCGGATCACATTTTAGGACCACGGCAAAGTGTGATATTTTTTCTTAATAATCTGTGTGAGAGTTTTAATTTTGTTATATTAGAAGTAAGAGAAAAGTCCATTCTTGGTATGTTTGAAAACATTAGGATATATCTAATGGAAATACTTAGGTCAAAAAGGGAGTAGATGAGAAAAAAGAAATGATGTTATTTGTCCAAAAGTTCAAAAAAAACTTGAAAAGGCAAAGGATAATGTTAGATCAAATATAGCCAGGTAGTCTGATGACGACAGGTTTGAGATAACACATATGTATGGGGCCACGTTTTTTGTTAACTTAAAGGTGAAGACATGTATACGCAGAAAATGGGAACTCATTTGTTTACTATACTCTCATGTTATAGGCTGCATTACTTTGATCGGAGCCGAGCCAAAAAGTCTAGTACATCCATATTATTCAAGGGATGCATATCTAAAGGCTTATGAGCTAGCTATTGGTCCAATTAATGGACCTAATAACTAGAAAAGATCTAAGAAAGTCCCTATGTGTACATCTAAGAAATTGAAACTTTCCAGTAGGCCTTAGAAGGCAAGGAGGAGAGAGCCGGATGAGCCACAAAGTGATTTCAAATGATGCACAAGACTTTCTAGAAAGGATATCACACATGTAACTTGCTCTTTTTGTCATCAAAAGGGTCATACTAAAAGAAAATGTTAGCTCAGCATGAAAGAAGTAGACAGAAATGAAAGAATACCATCTGTGAATAGTAATAGGTGTGAAAAATGCAAGAACTTGCCTATTGGCTGGTAAGAAAAAAGATGAAACTCACGGTGAAATTGGTATGGCTGAACTCCTATTTTCTTTCATATTGCATGGTTTTAGTTAGCAGCTACTAATCTCGAATGTTGTTGCAGCTCCTTCTGTGATTGGGAACACTAGTTTACCACATGATAATGAGACATTCCAAGACTCTACCACATTGCAAGAACCGACAACATGTATTCTTTTCTTTTAAGTTTTTTTAGTATTACTGTTATTATTGTTGGCTATTGTTGCAGCTCCTTATTATTGGCAGGTGTTGCAGCTCCTTATTTTTTCACCTATGTTGTAGCTTCTTATTGTTTATAGTTGTTGCAGCTCTTTATTGTTGTTTGTTTGGTCATTTTAATGAATACATATGAAATTTGTCATGTTTTTCATAATGCAAGTTGATCAAGTGCTCGAAGCAATTGATGTTCAACCTATTGCTCCAACTGACAGCTCTCAGAGGCTGTGTAGGACCATGTGTTGTTTTTTTTTGTCATGTTCCAAGCCAGACCAAAAGAACTTGCACTTGCTGTCAAGCACAAGCGTGGAGAAACAGGATAATTGCTGTGAAAAGGAGAAAACAAAGGGTAACTTTTTGCTGCCACGTATACAAATTATTAATTGTTACTTACGCTTAGAGATTCTCACTACACATGAATTTGCAGGCTCATAGGACACTCGACGAGCCGGATGACCAGGGAAAATGAATGCAGCTAGATGGGTTGCTGATAAAGTCGTTTTTGACTATTTTTGGGTTGCTAAAACTATCGGGTGGCTAATGACTGAAATAGTTACAGTTGACTTTATCTTTTGTCCTTTTTGGTAGTAACAAATGGCTGGAAAATGTGGAACTTTATATCATGGGATTCACTTATTTTTGTAATGAATCCTGGAACTTATTGTTTTTTGCTACTAAGACTTCGAATCTAAGGAATCTTAGAATTTTGTAATGATTCATAACTTTGATTCTAAGGGATTCACAATTTTGTTATGAATCCTGGAACTTTATGTTAGTTGATAATTCTTTCTCACATATGACAGTGTTCTTAATGTTCATACACAAGCAACCTTGATACAATGCAATTCTTCCACTCCAACCAACAATGACCAAATAACATATATACATCACCAAAATTCACTTAATGAAGCTGATCTCTTTCATATTCAATATTGAATTTGTAAACATACAACTGAGAACTCAAAACTATTACAAATCCATAACAATCCATATCCAAAACATATCCAAAACTATTACATGAAACCTCGGGAATTACTTCATTCAAAAAGGCAGCATTACATGGTCCAAAATATATGAATTATAAAGTTTCATATGATGTCCAGAGTTACTGCAACATCTTTAATTCTAACAAGCCACCCTTTTGCCTTTGAGTGCCCCCGAATATAGCAAGAACTAAAACGCAGCAACAAGTACAAGCCAAGAGCAACATTTTCGCTTTTGCCTTCAATTTGCTCATTTCAATCTTCAGTGCTACATTCTCCCTCTTAGTACTTCTCAGTTTCCTCAAAATTGTGCTAGCATATTCTTCATTTTTTGGGGTATGGGTGAATCATACCACAAAAAAGTTTACAAGCACCACGTTTCTGCATTTACTACTATTTCATAGTCAAAATTCAAGCAATAATTCAACAAATCCTAACATTTAGTACATGCACAAAATTACTTCATAATTTCTGTAGCCATGAAATTTTCTTGATGGGTTTGACTCTGTCCATGCTATCACAATTCTGCATTGTTCAAGGTAATGGTATCACACGATTTTGTCTCCATTGTAATATTCGTCATTTCCTTCATAAATCAGACTTTCTAATTCTAAACCATTCAACCCGACGCCGACGCTCTTCAAGACTCGATCACTACATCATGAGCTTGAGGATGCTTTGTCCCAATTCCTCCTTGGATGCATTTCACTGTAGTGATTTTGTACACCACTTTGGGAATTTTGGGATACCGAGCAGATCTCCTTTTTTACCAATAACCTTATGATTACAATTGGATTCTCCCTTCAATTTTTACTTCTTATTTTACAGCTTCAGCAATGAAGTACCGAAATACTCTTGTTTTAAGTGTTTAATTAGAAGTTTGATCGAAATTACATAATGACACTGCTGCGGCGTTCCTCGATTGGAACTGATAAATAAGTATAAGGATTAAATTGGCCAAAAAAATTAAGTAAGGACCAAATTGACACTATAAAAAAGTTTAGAGACGAAATTGGCTATTTTTCGAAAAAAAATTTATGGAACAACTTTTTCCTAATTAGTGCTGTTCACTTTTGATTATTTTTCCTTGTTCAATAGCTTTGACTTATTAAGTACCTTTTTTTTAAAATATAAAAAAACTGATATTATTATTGATTAAGGAGGTAAGTCTGCTTCAAGAGCAGCTCAGATAAATGGTAAAAGAGAATCCATCCAGAAACACTAATTGGAAAGTGAAACAGCATTCCTAGCAAGTAAACGTGTGACAATATTCTAGTCTATAGGAACCCATAAAGCATCCCTCAAGCTGGAGGAGAACAATTATGTCATCTATCAATTTCCTGCGTCCCTCAAGCTGAATTATCTGTAAAACAGCCTTTGGATCACCTTAACAACAAAGAATATTAAAAAAAAAAGAAGAAGATAACTCTTTGTTAATTAACTAGTCTCATTTACTAGGTTTAGCAACCTAGAATTAGGTAACTAAGAATACATAGTCAAGCATAACTTTCTAGAGAAGATGCTCCTGGTAATAATTTAATAAAACAGGATTTTTTTGGGTTATAATTAGTTCCCAGAGTTATAGCAGAAATTGATGTAATGCATTTTTCCTTTATATGTAATTCGTTCCTTTAAAGTTATTGATCTCTTGCCAGGACAATAATGGAAATCCAGTAAGTGGTGTCTCGAGTCTTAACAGCTATTAATCATCTTTATCTCATCTTAATCTCATAACATATAGTTTATTAAAAGTGTTTTGTCTTGTGAATCCTAAAACTCACCAAGCACATTTAAAAAAAAAAAAAAAGTCTTGAATAAAGAAAAAGCACTTGGTAAGTTAGAGATTTATGGATAAAGTAACTGAATTGGCTTGAAAGCATGATTTCTATTACTTAGTGAACTAAACCTAGCCCTTAGATGGACTCTTCATGAAAATTTTACATGCAATGTTGCACTTTTCAACACTGTGATTTGTAGTCATATCTCATCCTCGTTTCATCTGTTTCAAAAATGCCCTAATAAAGTTCCTTTATATTTCGGGTTAAAGAAGATGCAAAACAGTAATGTGTTTTTCCACAATGCAAAAATTCCCTCATCCTCGATTATGTTTTAGTCTTGACTATTTCAGATGCATCACTTGAACAATTTTTTCATAAAAACTAAAAAGTACTACTTGAAATAATTTCACCACTTGGATTGTGTCACATGAAGCAACTCTTCATATTTCTATTCCACAATGATGGTTGTTGCATTGAAGAGCTAATGCAATATAGTAGTAGGACGATAAACCTTTTTTTTTTTCCTTTTTTGGGAAGAAAAATACACTTTTTTAAGGAATATGAAGAATAATAAATTCTAATTGCTCTTGAAATAATCGTGGCAGTTGCGAAAATAAAACTGAAATGGGCACTGTATAGAACTGATCGATGAATGGACTTCCATTCTACAGGCCTAAAGCAATCTAAATGGCCCAAACAAAGAGCCCAACTGATCCTCAAACCGCGAGTCCATATTCCTGAACCGCCATCAAGGGAGACTGAAATCTCCACTGTCAGATCAGTTCAATCGACGGTTCAGATTTAACTTTAGGCCTCAACCCTACCAGCCTGAACCTCCTGGAAATTTAAATTATAATTCTTTAATCCCACCGAATCCACTCTGTCAATTGTTGGTGACAGAGCACTCTCACCCCCAAATCAGCTTTCTTCAATTTAATAATAAACAAATCCCAAAGCAGACGTCTTTCTTCATTCTTTCTACACTAACCAATAGTAATCAGCCGTTCTTTTTATATCTGTCACCGTCAGTGACCATTGAATCCAAAGACTTTCTCCAGCTCTTAAATAGTTAAATGAACCAGGAAGGAAGATACACACACCGAAATCAGCATTAATCAAACGGCTCTTCTCTGTTTCTAAGGTCCCAAGAACCGAGAAGAACCCTCTTTCAAGGTACAAACAACCCTTTTCGATTTCTTTTGTTTTCCCTGTTAATATTATGATTTTGGGTTTCAGTTTACCAACTATCCATGCATGTTTGTATTGCTATAAAATTTTGATGAATTTACAGGGTCGATTTCTTTGTTGATTGGTTCAGCTCAAGTGGATTTTTCGTTGGCTGGATAATCTTGATTCTTGTTAGTTGCTTATAGTTTCTTTTCGTTTCTGTGTTAAAAAGTTTGTGTCTTGACCCTAAAGCTGGAAACTTACCCTTCAATTTCGTGGTTTATGAGTTTGAACTTTCATGTATGAAGTATGAAGTTTCTTTTTCCCTTTTTGGTTCCCTCCTACATTTTTTTTGAGATATTGTAGAACGGGGAGGTAGAAGGGGGAAGTGATCGAAGTGGATTCCTGAAAAATCTACTCTAAAGTTGATCTTGGAGAATCGACTTTTGGTTTCAGGAAACAAAATCAGTTGATTTTCTTAATATCGAATTTGAAGGTCTTCAAATGCAAAGTTTTTTCCTGTTGCTGCAACATCTCTTTGAAAACCTTTCTGAATCAATAATATATTGTATATTAAGCCTTAAACCGCTTTCCTGAATTTTATAACCACAAGTCGTCTCTTGATGTTTCTGGACTTAGCATACGCCATTGTCAGAATTTTCAGGTTTCTTTCTTGCCTTTTGAACCAAAATTCTAATTTCAATAACTGTTCTTGTTTACGGGATATACCTAAATGCTAGATCAGGCTTGGTAAAGACTGCACACACATTGGTTCAATCTTTGATTAGGCTTGTTAAGCCATCTGTTAAGCTAGATCAGGCTTGTTAAGCCATCTGTTTTACAAAGAATTTGCTGCTTTTATTAGTATCGTGAAAGACAATGGAAGGACTGTTAAAAGGAGATAGGCTGCTATTTGGATGAGTGCTATAGGACACAATGGATGGATTGAGAAAATGAGATAGCCCAATTATGGAGTAGGAAGCTGGGAGAGGATTTGGAAGCAATGAATGGAGACTTGTGGTGAAAGGGAATAACTAAGCTGAAGTTGATTTCTTTAAAATGGACTCTACAGTTATTGTAAATCAATTTTTGTACTTATGCATTTGGCAATATCTTGATTCTTTTGTCTACTCTTTTGTGGCTATTAAGTAAAATGAGTTTTACCTTGGCACTTATGGGGAAAAGGGAGCGTGGATGGGAACTAATGACATTGAAATATTGTTAGTTGTCTTATCGTTAGACACAACATACTTGTAACTGTCTGGAGGGAACCAATTCACACACCAAAGGAATTGCCTGATTAATTTGTTCACTGGCATATTTTCTCTTCCTTGTGACGCAAAAAGGACACATCACAGAAGTACAGTTTCATTTGATGGCATAAGCTGTTTGACATTATTAATTTCTTCACTCTGATGCACCATAGCATACTATAATTCCTCCCTTTTCGTCCATTAGAACTTTGAGTTATGTTTGTTTATCTCTTTAAACAGGTGTTGCATCTTCTGCAACACTAAAAATGCATTTTATGTAGATGGCTTTCTGGTATGATAGATATGATATCTTCTCTGAAATGCCTGTTTCTTAACTTGAAGTTTAAGTTTTAGCTTTCTTAATTAGTATTACGATTTTTGCAGATAAAAAGTCATGTTTGGCCGAGCTCCAAGGACGAGTAATAACTCCAAATACTATGAAGTTCTTGGGGTTTCAAAAAGCGCCAGTCAAGATGAACTCAAGAAAGCATATAGAAAAGCTGCCATAAAGAACCATCCTGATAAAGGTGGTGATCCTGAAAAGGTGAGTCCTAGTGCCTCTCATGTATGTCGTTTAGAATAGCATTTTTAGCTTTACTTACAGGCTATTGGACTAACTTACATAATTAATATTAGTGGAATGGAGCCTTATGAAACCGGTAAAGTAATCATTTGATATTAAAATTTAACTGCTTGTGCCGTTCTGCAAGATTAAGACATAACGATGGACCCCATCAAATATGGGTGATCTAGTGAAATTGAAAGAAAGGAAAGCCTGAAAAGTGAAAAAGGACTTCTTAACTTTTGCCTCCTTTTTCTTTTAATTTTCTTTTAATGAACATTATTCAAATTTTTTGACTTTTACACAGTTCAAGGAGTTAGCCCAAGCATACGAAGTTCTAAGTGATCCTGAGAAGAGAGAATTATATGATCAATACGGTGAAGATGCTCTCAAAGAGGGAATGGGGGGTGGTGGTGTTCATGACCCTTTTGATATATTTGAGTCGTTCTTTTCACCTCTTCATCGTGAGTTGCTGATTCTCCCAATACCCTTTGTTTGACGTTTTGCCCCTCTTTTTGAGATGATTTAACATCTAATCTTTAGGTCGTGATGGTTTCCGTGGGAGGAAGAAGCAGGGTGAAGATGTTGTGCACACACTTAAAGTTTCCCTGGATGACTTGTACAAGGGAACATCTAAAAAGCTCTCTCTCTCACGGAACAAATTGTGCCCCAAGTGTAAAGGGTACACCCTCTATCTCAGATTTGTTCTCATTATCCACTCTTTGCTGAAATTTGCATGCATGCTTATGCAACTGTTATGAGTTGATTTAGACTGACTTGTGGCTTTTGTTTTATAATAACATGAATCTGAATGCCTCGCTGTTAAAACTGATTGAGAAAAAAGATTCTGTTAGCTAGCGTAAGTTTGAATAGGGTAAGCTCAGATGGAACTTGGATTGTAGTATTGCGCTCCGAACTCCTATTGTTTAAATGTTGCATTTTCCATTTTGAAGTTGATGGATGGTTTGACTCGCTTTTTTGGTAGCAGTACCGTTTTATTTTGGTCTAAATTTACACAACTGTTTTCACATGTATTTCATATGAAGCCTGTCAGGGTAATATTTTATGCTTCAGCTGTGTCTGGGGTATTGACAAAGTGTTCTTCTGATCCTTCTGTCTATGATCTTATTGTCTGTTAGACTGCAAGTTCATATTCAGATTTTGGAACTCAAATGTGTAGATATAGTGGGAGTCAATAGTAAAGCGGTGGTACTTCACCACAACTCAGAAATTGTTAAAATCTAGAAAGTCTAGTTTGCTTCTGAGTAAGTAAGTGGAGGTAAACTGTTGTCTAGGTAATTGCAGCTTGATTGATCACTGTTTTACCATACATAGGAGAAAATTTCCCAAGATCTATCTATTATGACTCTATATTTTCATGGCCTTCATTTATTGTGACTTCAGATATTAAAATACACTTCTCTCTCTGAACAACTTGACCTTTGCAGTCTTGCATTGCTAAATCTGAGGGGAGTTGAGAAGTGCTGATGGATTTGATTGTTTGTATTTCTCTTCACTATACATAAACGGATTGATTGTTTTACTACACAATATGTAAAAGGTTTAAAGAGAAAAAAGAGATTGGATCATCTGCAATATGGTCACTCAAGTTGATCTCTTTGTAGCTTGCCTTGTTTTGAGGAGTGGTATTAGTACTTTATTCAAATTGGAAAAGGCTCTTGAAATTCATATACATCAAAACTGGTAGAGGGAACAGTTAGGTGCAGCCCATGGGCTTGGACATTGACTGAACTTTTGAGATCCCTGTGGATTTTTAATTGGATAGGATGAAAATATTCGTGTTATTCACAAGGTTGAGTAGGATTATTCGATCCAGCATATGGGTACTATTTGTGTAGAGTGAATATTGAAGTTGGAAATTTTTTGTGTCTAAGGCTGAAAATTTTGAACTTAAGCACACATTGCTTATTTTTGATGCATCCATTCTGAGTTTGACATATAATTTGCAAACATTTTTTTTGTTGTGAAGAAGTTTTTGAGTCAGACATTTGAGTTTCTGGGATACACGCCAGCAGTTTCATGCTAACAGAAGGCCTTCTGTTCTTTCCTGCTTGTTTGCATGTTTTTGATGTTTTAACATTGCACATATTTGTTACTAAGAGTTTAGACATGTTTATAATGAATCAGGAAAGGTTCAAAGAGTGGAGCATCTGGGCGGTGCTATGGATGTCAAGGTTCTGGCATGAGGGTCACGACACGACAGATTGCACCAGGAATGATCCAACAAATGCAACATATGTGTCCTGAATGCAAAGGCTCGGGTACCTACTTATATTTTTGATGTGCTTTTCTGTTTCTTTTTTGTTGCATACTCACGCAAAAGAAGAAGAATAAGAAGAGAACAATGAAAACTTTGGATCACTTTTCTGTTGTTATAGGGGAGGTTATCAGTGAGAGAGATAGATGCACTCAATGTAAAGGAAACAAGGTTGTACAAGAAAAGAAGGTGCTGGAAGTTCATGTTGAGAAAGGTATGAAACATGGTCAGAAGATTGTATACCCAGGCGAGGCTGATGAAGCTGTAAGTTAGATACCTTCTGTTCAAAAGATTTACGCTTATGTGTCACCCTTTCTGTATTGTTTAAACTTCCTTGTGATTTCTGATTCGTTTTTGACTATGGATTTCATCCTCATTGTAGCTGACTTGCTCTTGTGGCAAGAGGCTTTTTTAAACTGGCTTGCACTGTTTTATTTTCTATCAAGTAATTGTTTTCTATTGTTATGCTCTCAAGTTGAATAAAGGTGGTGGATAGTTTTGACAGGTATGGACTTTTCCTGATTGTTTCTTGTCTGACTGTGAGACATAACTGTTATTTTCTTATATATTTTTTTCTTTGATGCATAGGATCCTGAAATTGTATATGTCCAATTATGCATGAAATGTAATGTTGTATATGTGACTCAGCAAAAAGTGATGTGCAACTTGAAGTTGGAAAGTTGATCTTCAATCTGATGATAGATTAGGCTGCATATGTAGAGAAGCTGTTAGTATATTTGTATGTTTTCATACTGTATTTTAGCTGTTAGGATATTTGTATGTTTTAAAACTGAATATTGAAGGTTAAAAGAGCATAGAATGGATTTTGGTCTACTCATTATGTTCAAGAAATCAAGAAAACAAATTTTTAAGTGTTTTGACTGGTTGCAAAGTTAAAAGCTACAAATTCAGTTAACTTGTTGCAGTGTGGAAATCCTAGACTGAAAACAGGACTCATGTTCAGGGGGTTTTTAAACAAATCTTGAGAAACCATTGTCATTGTCTGTACTTCCAGCATGCCCATAGGTACTTAACCAGTAGGATACCTGGTCTGCAGAACTGCTTGCAAGTTGCAACTGACATTTATGCTTACTGGTTCATGCTTTGTATCATAAATGTAGAATATGATGTATGTTACTCTACCTGCCAAATATGGGAATCAACATGTAATTGCTAGTTTCTTGGAGTTCTCTGGATTCTGTAACTGATTTACCTCTTGACCATTTATTTTGAGAAGAAGCCTTCATGAAGTTAGAAAGAATAAGATTATAGGTTGTACCTTGCTGGTTGCCTTTCTGTGAGAAGCAAGGTGGTATTGACAGAAATTAGGTGGAGGTTAGAAGAGGGAGCAGTTATGGTGACTTTATTGGCCTAGTGAGCAATGGTTATGCAGGTAACAGGGAACTTAAGACAAACCCAGGATGGAGATGGTCACAAAGCTAACCACCATCATGGCTTCCAAAGGGACCAACACATTTTCCTTTTTTGTTTAAAGGAACAATTTCTACAGGATTCTTTAGGTGGGAGAGCCTATAAGAAAATCAATGATCCTGTAGTTGGGATGACTGAGATTTTTCAGTTTCTACTCTTTGGGTGGTTTCTTGACTTTATTTGTTGTTGATGAGATACGTGGTAATGGCGAACTTTGCGGCAAACTGTATGGAGCAAAGGGTCTGTAGACTATCTTGTGACTGAGACTTCTGGTTCTTTAATGCAGCAGCTAATACATGATTCTATTCTGCTAGTGAAAAGTGAAGGATTGACGGGTAATTAGGCTGGAGGGTGGGTGGGGATTGGGGGTACGGATGGAGAAAAAGGGTGAGGAATACGGTGAGAGAGGGACGGAGGGCTATGTCAAACGTCGTACCGTAAGCGGTGGATATATGGCATTTAATGTTTTGGTGTCTTATTTTCTTTGGTAAAGGGATCATAATTATTGTTGCATAATGAGTACAAGCTTTAGTACTTCCAATCTCATTCCAACAAATGTCATGTAACTGCAGCCTGATACCGTCACTGGAGACATAGTTTTCGTGTTGCAACAAAAGGAACATCCCAAGTTCAAGAGGAAGTTTGATGATCTTTATGTTGAGCAGAGCCTTAGTTTGACGGAAGCTCTGTGTGGATTTCAGTTTGTCTTGACTCATCTTGATGGCAGGCAACTTCTGGTGAAATCAAACCCCGGTGAAGTTGTTAAGCCTGGTATGCTTTTTCTGTTTTTATACATCCTTTCTTCCCGCCCCCGCCCTGCTGCTTCTTGCTTTCAAAGAAGTGATTATGGTTTCATATTTTTTTGTTTGTCAACCAATTCCAGATCAGTACAAGGCAATAAATGATGAGGGAATGCCACAGTACCAGAGGCCCTTCATGAAGGGCCGTCTATTCATCCATTTTAATGTGGAATTCCCGGAGTCAGGGACTCTGCCCTCTGAGAAATGCCAGGTCTTGAAGGCGATGCTCCCATCAGGTTCACTTAAGCAGTCGTCAGACATGGACTTGGATGAATGCGAGGAAACCACTTTGCATGACGTCAACATTGAAGAAGAAATGAGGCAGAAGCAGCATCAACGACATCAAGAGGCTTATGATGAGGATGATGACGATGAACCAACCATGCATCGAATGCCCTGTAACCAGCAATAAATAACTCCGCCTCTTTTGTTGCCCGTAAGTTCTGATGGGACGCAACGGCCTGCTTGCGGTACAAAGCTATATACAGGATATGGAAGTCCAGCCATTATTAATTAATTATTTTTTGTGGTTCTTAATATCTTCTTAGTTATGAATGCAATTTGAAACTCGAGTAAAATCTAGTATCTTGATAATTTAAGTGGATCTTTTGCTTAAAAGAGGAGCACATGTGTTCAGAAATCGCTCTGAAATTAGACTGTACATCTTGAGCATTTGGTGGTGCAAATAATTGGCTTTACAAGTACAAATGTTGCCCCCCCGCCCCAAACATCCATCTGAAGCAGAAGTTATGGTCTGTCAACATGCATTTTCAGGAGAATCAACCAAAAATCTATCACGCTTCAAACGAATCAGTTAGAAGTGCTTTCTTGTCGGTGCAAACCTTAAAACACAAAATGGTTGATTTGATTCCCACTAACATATTATTGTTGGATTTGGTGCAGACAAAAAGCCTACTACTCTCCTGTTAAGTCCTCTTTATATGGTTTGCCTGATAAGAGAAGGTTCTAAGGAAGGTCAGAACCGCGGTCAGAACCGCGGCATTGCATGAACAAGAAACTGAAGTCTCAGCCAAAAAATGTTTTAAACAAGGATTTGATAATTATTATGGCGCACGAAGCCAAATTTCTTTGCTTCACCATTTCATAGGCTGAGAAGAAATGATCCACCATTTCTAACCATCAGATGAACTTGATGTTAACACAACATTAATGATAAGAACTATAAAGATAACGATGACTAATAACAACTAGCAATGATAAGGATACCCATCCATAATACTCATCGTATGTTAATCATACAATAATTACAACCATGAAACGAGTGCAGGGTAAGATTCTTTTTCTTTCTTTTTTTTTATATATATATATATATATATATATATATATATATATATATATATATATATATATATATATATATATATATATAAATGTGGTATGAAGTAATTTGAAATAATATCTTGATTTTTGTAAACAGAATAAATAGACAGATAACCATTATAATGAATGCTATATCACATTCAGAGGCGAGTCTTAAAAACATTTTGAAAAAAGAGCAACACATACACAAAGTGGAAAAGGAGCTCTGTACTGCATCAAGAATTGCTCTTGTATCTGCGTACTCTGATGACATTATTGACATAGAGAGCAAATTATAACTTGAGTCTAACCTCTGATAATTATTGGGTGCCGCCGTCCAAATAAATTGACATGTTACGTAGCGATCAGGAATAAAAGCAGTAGGAAAAAGTTAGGAAGAAGATCCCATTGCACAAAATTACAAGATTCACGTTTTAACATGCAATAATTAAGAAGCTCAGCTCCATTGTGACTGATCTGTTCAGTGTACTGAAAGATAAAAACCACATTCGATGTAACGTCGCCGAAAGTTCGAAACCCACAAACAAAGACCACTTGTTTTGCCTGCCTGCCTGCTTGAGCCCTCACCTCTGAAGCCAACATGGAGGTACACTTGGTACGTGCTACATCTGGTTTGACACTTGACAGCAATCGATAATGAAGAAGCATATGATTCTAAAGTTTCTTATCATCGAGTTTAAAAAGCAAGCTGTTCCAGAATATTTCACATGCCTTCCACCATCAATTCAAAAGCTGGTGATGAAGCGTAAATGTCCAATTTTGGAACGACAAAATACATGCTTTTGCCTTTGAGTTGGGATTTGATTGTCTCCCAAAAGATCACTGGAGAGAAAGATAAAATGAACTGTTTCAACATGTGCTCATGGGTGGAAATGGAAAACCATTTGTAGCTGGTGCATTTTTCCTGTCACAAAAAAGTATTGGAGATTTGACACCGGCCACCTCAAATTATGATTACTCAGCATACCAGAATAGAATAGCATATTTCTTCTGAAGTCTTTAACTTCATCATCACGACCTTGACATTTAACGGTGCTCAAGTAGCCTCCACAGTCATTTTCAATTCACTTGGGGATTAGTTAATTCTTAGCAGCAGGGTGGTTGTGTGAGTTCTAGTCCCACATCGGGGAAGGGGTTGGGGTTTGCTGGGTAGATAAGTCTCCTGGGGCTGCTCCAAGAGTTGCCGGCTTTTGGAGTATGCTCTGGGGTTTAGGTTTGTTGAGTCAGTAAGAGTCAATTGACTTCTTGACAGAAAAAAAAGTAGCCTCCACAGTCAAAATTTGTGGGATTTGTTTGACTGTTTTTTTTTTCCTATATATGAATATGTGGCAAACTAAACATGCGTTTAGCTGTAGCTGCACGGACATGTACTTGTCAACCATTTCGATTGGTTAGAAAATAATTCAATTGGCGAATGATGAATCAATTTACTACTTTTCAGGACAGTGTATAGAATTCGACAAGTCATTAGAAGTTGGTAATTTTGAAATCTTTGTAGTGTGCAAAAAAAACTGGCTTTCTTTTTGCCCTCCACAAACCAAGAATCTACCATCCCAGCTCCGTATATAGTATATATTAAATGCATCTTCCTCTGGCCTGTTAATCTCGGGTCAGATACTTCACTTGATCACCAAGATTCAAGTTTGTAGGGTAGATTGTTGTATATATATCGATACCAATGTTGGACCACAACAAGACATCTATCAGGTGAATTATGTCTGATGTTTCTTTGTTGTTGAACCATAATTGCCTGCGATGATTATTACCTGTAGTCGCTACTTTATTTACTCTCTTGTCTCCTTGATTTTGTGCACCGCTGACGGCCGCTGTGTTCGGGATCTCAAGTTTAAACTCTCCCCAACTCTTATTTTTCTTCTTTCTTTAATTTTTTTTGGGGGGGGGGGGGGGGGGGTGCATTGTTTGGAAGAGAGTGTGAACTCTAGATAAGAGGGATACTTTATCGAAAATAAAGGAAGGGAATTTGGAAAAGAGGGCAAGCAAAATCGATGGTTTAGTTAATGATATAAAGAATGATGGGAATTGTAATATAAAGAGGGAATTTGCACTACTACATACCTAACACTTGTGAATGATTTAGTTCATGGAGAAGAATATTTGACGTGTCAGTGGAGCATATAATATGCTTGATTAAGCTGTTGAACAACTCCAGATTCATCCAACGTACTTGTGAATCAGTACAAACTGAGGTCACTAAATGTCCATCAAATGCTTGATTACAAATCCTGATGAGCTTGACGAAGAGTAGTAATTAGGTTTGCGACTTTTTCTGGTGCAGGAGAATGTTTTGATTTGATACTAATATATAAGGGTTTGGAGATTCATACTTATCCTTGCCTGTTCGGAATGAATCATACTCCTATTCAATATCAGTACAGAACATCCATTATTGGCGCGGCGCTTCCATTGTGATTCGAGGCTCTCACTAAGATAACAAGTGGATCACTATAGTATAGCTCAATTTGTACATAGTAATATTTAAAAAAGAAAAAGTTAAAGAGTGTACGTTTTCAATCTCGTGTATCACAAAAAGTGTTACTATAATTTTATTTTTCAAGAAATCTTTTGTCTGACTCCACAAGTCTTAGATGAGTGTAAGTTTCTTTTTTTCGGAAATAATGCAGAGCAAAAACTAGTGTTTGGATAGAGTACTATTTGAAATATTATTTGGAATAATTACTGCAGCACTTGTTGTGATGCAAGCGAAATATGTTTGGGAAATGTTTGATCAACACATTAATTTGATCAATTAATTTGAAAGATGTGTTTATGATGCAAGCGAAATATTATTTAGAATAATTTGGCATTCCAAACACACTAAATTAAAAATGTCTCTATTTCCTATAATTGTCGTTTGGCCTAAGAGTATATTGGATAGAAATGAGTTGCTTACCCATTGTGTAAGTGATTGTGAGTTAAGTTTAGTACTCCAAAGATATGTGGCTCAAGATTTGGATCAAACTGAGTAAATCTTCTCGTCCAAAAATATACAAACAGGCATGTCAAGTTTCTACTTCAGCATTTTCTGATTGCAATCATTACTTTCTTCTTGTCTTCTACAAAGCTTAGACACGTACAACTACACAAAAATGAGCTTGTTGTCTGAAACGGTAAGTGGGTTCAAAGCCTTCAGGCAAGCTTGTCATCAAATTAATTGATGAAAATATTTGAATATCTAATATGTCCCATGCAAGAAGATGCGGAGAGAAAGGAGGAGGGCGACAAGTACATGGTCGACATCAATGGATCATGCAATGCATGAAACTTAGGATTGCAGTAAATCAAAAGGAAGAACCGCTGTACACGGCTCTTAGCTCATATTTTGCTACGTCCTTTTAGCTAGACCCCGCCGTCTATACAAGCATTAAACTTTGCAGTCCTTTCCTACATAAAATTAGTAAGAAAAACATGTGAGTTGAGCTTAATAGGTTCGTGGAGTCAGAATTAGACAGTCAGCTGAATCGTATTAATTCTTTCCTCTCTTTTTATTTACAATGCAAGTTGCGATGAAGAAAAAGAGAACTTTTAATTTTGGTTATCTTAGATTTACAAACAACCGTTTGCCGCTGCTTAAGAGAGACATTTTCTGATTCCAACCATTCCTTTCTTCTTGTAACGCTCTTCTGCAAGTGGCCTATTGACTCGTACAATAACATCACATTTAGTAATGTAGCTTGTTAATGGTAATAGGGTTCAGGGGGAACTAAGCGTTATATTAATTGATCAAAATATTTGAGGATGCAACATAGGCCTTGTTTGGATTGCAATTTTTGTGTAAAAAATTTTTACGTTTTTCGTGAACATTTTTTTTTAATTTTTTATATATCAAATTACTATAGTACATTTTTCTATAAAAACTTCGAAAAATAGTAATTCAAATAGGTCTAATCTAACCCAAAAAAATATGTGGAGAGAAAGGAGGAGTTGTTGTGGGGGGGGGGGGGGGGGGGCTTCGCGCATGCCAGGCATCTGTTAGATTCAGAACAGCCACAAAGTTCATGTCCGACGTTAATGGAAATGCACGAAAGCTAAGATTTCAATAACTCAAGAGGAGGAGCTCTGTTGACTGCCACGTCTCTTAACACAGATTTTTGACTGGTTTCAAGTCATTTTTTCGCGTGTGAAATTGTTGAGAAAAACATGGCAGTTCAGTTCCTTTGTTGGAATCAGAATCGGACAGTTAGCTGAATGGTATTGGTATCCTTTCCTCTCATTTCCTGTCCTTCAACCTAACATTATTGGTGCCTAAGGAAGGGAATCAATTTTAGTATCATTACAAACAATCATTTGCCACTGCTCAAGAGAAACTGAGAACATCTCTTAGTGATCTACCTACCAAACA